GCTCAAGGAGACCCGGCTGCTCCTCGAGCAGATTCCTGTCGGCGGACACCTTGCAGACGGTGGCCTCGTCGCCGTCTGGGTCACTAACAAGCCTAGCTTAATAGACCTTCTCACATCGCCCAATGGTGTTCTGTCCGGATGGGGTCTGGAGGTTGCTGCTGAATGGACATGGGTCAAGATCACCTCGCAGGGGGAGCCCATCTTCGACACCGAGTCCGCGTGGAGGAAGCCGTGGGAGAGACTAATCATCGCCAGGCGTCGCGGCGGCGGGGATGGCCGCAAAATACCCCAGCGGATAATCGCTGCTGTGCCAGACATCCACTCTAGAAAACCAAACCTGCGCCCGTTGTTCGGAGACCTGCTCCCCCAAGGATTCCGCGGCCTCGAGGTCTTTGCACGTCACCTGACAGCAGGCTGGTGGGCATGGGGCAACGAGGTCCTGCGATTTCAAGAAGGCCATCACTGGGTTGTATCGGACACGGCTGAAGAGAGTAACGAACTTGATGATACTAATTGACATGATTTACATCTCCATGCCATCCTTTTTTTGTGTTGTACACACATGCGGCGATCACCGCATGTTCACCTTGAGCTGTCTGATGTTTTGTACATGGGGTCCACCACCCGCTGCCATCCCAGAGAAGACATCACGCCCCTTCGCCTATCCAGTGCAACTCGTCATCGGCCGTTCTTTCTTCATTCATCCGCTCTCTGTGCTCATTGTTTCTCTACCTCCTTCTCACCGGCCTCCTTCTCACTGGCCTCCTTCTCGGCGAACTTCTTCGCCTTGTTCTTCTTCCTTGTCGGCTTTTCCTTACTCAGCCTCTCCTGGTTCTCTGCGTCATACTTGTTCTGCTTCGCCTCTCTCTCCCTCTTCGCCACCGCCGCGATCTTGTCCCACTTGCTGTCCAAGTTGTCCGGCTCAACCCACTGCTTCTCCCCGTTCAGCAGCGCCTTCGCCTGTTCCGCAAGCCGCTTCCGCGGCGTGCTGGTCATGGCTAGTTCGCTGGGGTAATGCAAGTTACCGGCCTGGAGGTGGGCCTGGCTCTTGAAGTGCTCGTTCGCCGCGTCCGTACGCGCCTGCCACAGCTTCTTGTTCCAGGGCTCGAGGTTCTTCGGCGGGTCGGGCCACACGAAGGGCTTCACCAGCTGGACCATCATGAACTTCTTGGGCTGCGGGCGGTAGTAGCCCCCGCGTGGCTTGCGGACCGCGCTGCTCGAGTCCACCCATGAGCGCACCCCCGTCGTGTGGACTTTGTACAGGTTCCAGAGGTAATCGCGGATGTCGAGCTTTGTGAACGTGAGGGGCACCTGGAAAGTGGCCCAGTTGGGCGGCACTCTGTCTTTGCGGATGAAGGTGATGGTGTGGTTCGGCCTGTGGAGGGTGGTGAAAAGGTCAGTTTCTCCACGCTGCTGGGGTGCGGTGACGGCAATTGGGGTGTTTCTCACAGGTACACCTTCTTCTCTCCGAGCTTGAAGCCCGGAAACAAGGGGTTAAACTCCTTTTTAACCAGTCCTCGCCACGATCTAGGCATGGTGTCGTTGCTGGCCTACACGGTGCTCATGGATTCTGGTGTGCGGCTCGCGAGAATCCAAAAAGTTCACTGCAAGGATTGAATTGCTTTCTGATTGGCTGAAGCGGGTCTACATAAGTCCGCCAGAGATAGTGGATTTCGTCTCAAGGTGCTGGACGTGGAGCGGGGGAATTGTCCGGGTCCGATGCTGTACCCACATAGGATCCATTCGGTGTCCGGATGCGGGGCTCCAGCCGGAACATCAGTCTAAGCGCATGACAAGACAAACGCCGAATCGTACAATTAGGAATATTTGATAGCTTGCGCTATTTGGCTGGGAAGTTCTCAAAAGTTGTACATACGCAGGTGTCTTCATCACGTGTATTGATGGTTTGAATTTCCGTCACACGACTTCCTGCCGTTTTAAGGTTTCAAGAGCTGAGCTCGAGCTGGCTCCGCATTGATGGAAACCACCTGCGTTCAAGAAAAACCATCCCGTCGACAAGGTATTGCAAATGCCTCAGAGTCTGGGGAAGAAGCAGCCCCAAAGTTTTGAGACGCGCCGAGTGGCAGGCCGTTTGCCTATCCGATGTTTAGCCTGACACGGCAAGCTGGCCAACGGCGTTTCGAGGGCGCCGTGCGAAAGATTGCCCAAGGAGTTGCCTTGTCCGTCAAAGCTGCAACCCCGGATTTCAGCACCAGACGAGTCAAGTTATGTAAGCCCACGCACCAGCAGAGTTAATTCCCCACTGGTTTATGAGGGGAAAGGTGCGCGTGACGAAGCTGAAATCTGGCATTGAAAACGAGGAATTGCGCGGGCTGGAGGATGCAGAGACCCGGCCAGTCAATTGGCGGTGGTGTGCGTTCGTGATTTAGGCAGAACCCACGGAGTAGTGGATCACAGTGACATACCTGGCTGCAGGAGTTACAAGGCTCAGAAATAGAGTGGATTTGCGACTAATAAACACGTAATTGCTTCAATACTATCGAGATCTCAAGATCTCTTTACACATCTGGAAGGCTTTTCCCGTCCTTCTTACAGATTTTCATGAATCGTGAATGAACTTTTACCATCCATCCGTGTAATTCATGGGTATCATAATTCATTTAGACGTCGAGTCCGTCGACGACGACGCCCTTGTTCCAGGTCCAATGCAAGTAACGAGCGGCCTCCTCGGCCGACTCGTCGGAGACGAGAGCGCTGACGAGATACAGGGCCGCATCCACGCCAGCGCTGACTCCAGCAGCCGTGATGACACGGAGACCACCGAGGCGCATCGCGGCGCGGCGAGTGATGGACTCGCGGCGGCCGGAGCTCTTGAAGGACATGCTGCCCTTTCTGCTGTGTTGTTAGTCACGTTTAGTCAATTGGGTTTGGTATTAGCAAGCTGACGTACCTGGCGTTGGAGGGTCGGCGGCCGGCGTCGGATGTGCGACGGACATACGGGTTCTCGTCCTCGTCGCCGAGGTCGAATCGGAGGTTGTTGACGACGTATCGGGCATCCTCGATGACGTCGGTTCTCTCGGTCAGGTTGCGGGTGGCAGCCTCGCTGCAGAGGATCTCCAGGGTGGTGATGTAGTCTGAGTGGGTGGTGGCGGACAGGCCGGCGAGGATGCCCTGCTTGGCAAGGAGGAGAGAGCCGGTGCAGACGGAGAGAAGGGTGCGCTCGTGGGTGGGGTCCTTCTTCTGCAGCTCGGAGAAGGCAGTGATGAGGGGGAGAGGTTCGGCGTTAGCCTTGATGATCTTGTCGCTGTCGCCGCCGACGATGACGAGAACGTCAAAGTCGCTGAGGCGCTCGTAGGCCTCCTTGAAGGGGATCTGGGTGCCAATGGTGACGCCCGAGTCGGAGACGACCTTGGGCTCAGCAGCGGCGACGGTAACCTCGAAGGCCTTGGAGTCTGCGGGGTAGGGCGGCTGGTCAGCTGGGCTGCGTCCGCATTCACGTTGGTGTCATTGGGGTGGGGGGAAAGGGAGACCAGGGTAGATTTGGGGACTCACTCTTGTCCTTCTTGTCGTGAAGGGCATTGGCGAGGACCTCCAATGGGCCGGCCATGTCGAGAAGGTCAAAGTTGGGTTGCAGGGCGAACAAGACCTCAATGGGCTCGTCCGCCACTGCAGAGCTCTTGGGTGCCATCTTGCCGACTATTTGTATGGATTGGGTTTGAGGGGGAAAGGGGTATTGTGAAGCTTGAGCTTGCTAGTGGACTGATTTGAAGCAATTGGATCTGTGAAGAGGTCACAGAGAAGGTCGTCGCGGGGAATTGGTGAGGCAGCTGTTGGATGAGTAGCTTGGTTGTTGATGATGATGATGATGATGAAGAAGGAGAGAAGGAGGAGAAGAAGGACAGCTCAGAGCTATTTGGCTTAAAAGAGGGAGGGGGAAGCAAGCAATAAGGGTCGAGTCATCTGGACCAAGCAAAGGAGGGGTTGCACCACCAGCCGATCTCTGGTCCAAGGTACGGACGGGACGGTACATGGCTCTTTGCTGCTGGGTGCAGTGTACGGTTACGTACCTACCTTACCTCTCCTCCCAGAAAAGGGAATCCGTGTTATTCGCAGCTGGCCGGCAAAGTGACCTGAGCTGAGGGGGTTTGCTCTACAAGCACGCATATGGCACTACCAATGGTGCCGTACGGTATGCTACTCTACGCCGCGCTGGCTGTGGACGACTGATCAGGTGCGTTTCTGGACAAGACCACAACCCACAACAGCTTCAAGTGGTCCAATGGCCCCACTGTCGCCCGTACGTTTTTCTGGGGTCGGGTGCATCGGTGCAGTGTGGCCCACGCACCGGCGCATGGCGCACTCGCGGTACAGACGCGGATTGCGGGGTTTTAGCCCCGTGAGGTCACTGGTGGGGTCTCGGTACCTGCCTGCAGCGTGATCCGGTCACCGAGATCCAAGTATCTCCACCTGCCGCGCTTCATCCAGGATCCGCGTCACTGTGCCAGGGCCATCTCTGCTCATCCCAGATGCACATTCTGCACTGTACAGAGCTCCCCCCCTAAAACATGCAGGACCCGCCAAAGCAGTCTTAGGCGAGGCCACTCAACGCGCATGGCAGTCATTTCCATCGGGTCCCCTCACTGTGTGGATTGTGGCCCGTCGCACGCCGCCGCAGGTCACCCACCACCTAGACTCGTGCGTGGCGTGGGATGGCAACAGGCAGGCGGGCGGGCAGGGCAGGGCAGCGGTGGAGGGGAGTCGTGCTTTTCGTCGGGGCTCTCCTAGCGTCCAATGATCCAATCTTTCCCCCCTTCCACTGTCTCCTTCCACTGTTTCCACGCCCATTCCATTCCCGTACCGGCCTTGCACAACTGTGAGGGTCCCTGGCAAAGCTTGTACCTTGCATCAGCAGATTTCATTGCCTGACGGTTGCATGATATCGACCTCGACACCCGCCCTCGCGGTCCGCCGAAGCCTTGCTTTTCCCCCTTGACCGATAAAAACATCGCAAGGCTCCATGAAGAGTCACAAATAGCAATATGGCGTCGTCAGCGTGAGTGGCCAGATCTTCTTCCCATCTATCGTCGCTTCCGCATCTCGTATCCAGATCCTGCGTCATGCGGTGCGCGATATTCGCTTCAGGACCCTTCCAGCTCCCGCAACTCTACCATGGTGCCCACGATCGGCTAACAAGACCTTGTTTAGGTCACTCAAGGACCTGTCCAAAGCTCTGACATCTTTCCTGTCAGCCTCGCCGTCTCTGCCTTTGCCCGACGACATCACGCAAGTCATCGAAGCGTACCTGAACAAGCACGAAGAGTACAGCGACTCGAGCTCCGACAGACTGCAAGATGATCTGCTTGCTTTATACGAGAAGCATGTCAAGGGCACGCCGTCCAAGTATGCTGTCTTCATCCACATCTTCCGCCTTTTGGTCCCAGTGCTCCGCACACCGGCCCGCCTCTTCAAGTGGTGGGATATCTTGAATGACCCGGTCTTGGAGAACTTCACCCGGGAAAAGGGCTTGATGGAGGAGTCGCATAACGCCACCCTCGAGGTTTTGATGCTGGGCCATGTTGATAACGACGATTCGACCGCCGAACCTACCGTAAATCCTTTCGCGCAACGGCTGCTGTCCTCGTGGAAGGACAAATACTACAAGACGCAGTCGGGCAATGACTTGACTGGGGAATCGAGCGAGCGCGCAATACGCCAGGCTCTTCTCACGTATGGAAAAAAGAGACCCAAGGTAAGCCATGCATCGCGCATGCCGCCATACCATCCAGTGTCTAATGCGACGCCCAGGACTTTCTCTTCACCCTCGATAAGTCGTTTGTTCGCAGCGAGTGCCGAGCCCGCGTTGCCAAACTCTTGTGCGAGTTCGTCCAGAGTCAACCGCCGCATCTACATCAAATCTTGCAAACGCCCTTGTTCGGCAACTTGTTACGATGTTTGCAACAAGACACCTCGACAACCGTCATTTCAGTGGCAATCACCGCTTTGATCATGATATTGCCACATATGCCAAGTTCGCTGGTGCCACATCTTCCAAACCTGTTCAACATTTATGCACGGTTGCTTTTCTGGGATAGTGAGAGGATCGGGGTGATTGAAGCTACATCAGACGAAGGCGAGCAGAAGGCCTCAAGCTCGGGATGGGAGACCTGCCATTTCTCCCCCGAAACCGACGACATCGATGTTCCTCATCTCGCTAATTATTTCACCATCCTCTACGGCTTGTATCCCATCAACTTCATGGATTACATCAGGAAACCGCAGCGATATCTTCGACATGCAAACGCAGCAAACCCCGACGAGGTGGAAGTTCAGCCGACAGAAATACGTCACAAGTCCGAGCGCTTTCGCCAAAGCCATCTGTTGCATCCCAACTTTTACACTCTCACCATTGAATCTGAAAAGACAGACTTTGGCCGTTGGATGACCAGCGAGCCGGCCGAGGTTGTGGCGGAGTGTATGGCGTTGCGCTTTTCTGCGGACACTTTCGCTGTTGTCAACCCTGACGTCGCTCAGGCCGCCGAGGGTGAGGGCTCGCTTCTCAGTGACGAGTCAGATCGTGACGGGCTGGGGCCTGCTTTGTTGAGCGATGCTGCGCCGGGGGCTGGTGCCGAGAGTTGGAGGACCATCCGAACGCCAGAGGAAGCTTCTCGGGCGAGTAGTCGCGTTCATTCGACTGCTCAGCGTCAAAGTTCGCTGTCAAGCCAACCGTCCAACCGAAACTCACTGGAAGCACCCAGGACCGATTTGCCCGGTGACAGTCCAACGTTGCCGCCGCAACTTAACCCGTCTTCCTCGCACACGCATCTACAAGATATGATTCACTCAAATAAGGTGATCAAGTCTGGGCTTCATCAGTCTCTGGCCAATGACAGTGTTCCCTCGCTGGCCCTCAGCCACCAGGACTCTGCAGCCGAGAAGTCATCCACACAACTGCCTCCTCCGCCGGTCGCAATCTCCGCGCCGTCCTCTGCAGCTGACGGGCAAACCCAAATTGCGTTCTTGCAGCGGCAGCTTCTCCTTCTACAAAACGATTTGAACTTTGAGAGATATCTCAAGCAGCAGCATATGGCGCATATAGGCGAGCTACGACGGAGACAGGTTCAGGAAGCAGCGAGCGAGGCTGAAACTCAGAACCTCATCTTGAACAATCGTACTTTGCGGAAACGTCTGGAAGACTCGAAGAAGGCTGAGATGCAAATCAGAAAGGAGTCCGAGAAGAGTCGAACGCTGGCCAAGAAGTGGGAGTCTGACCTGTCTGCAAAGTTACGAACCTTGCGCGAGGAGTCTCGGAAGACGAAGTTGGAAATTCAGTCCCTGCAGCAAGAGTTGCACGCCGCGCGAGAGGAGTGTGAGAAGCTCAAGAAGCTGGTCTGCGATGCAGAAGTCAAGGAACTCAACTCGAAGCAAAACATGCAATCCATCGAAATAAATGCCGCCGACATTGATCGGTTGAGGGCAGAGGTAGAGCGGCTCTTGATCTCGGAGAGAAATCTCCAGGCCAAGGAGACGGAGAGGCAAGAAGCTCTAGCTTCTGCATCCCAGGCAGAGAACAAGGCCACGATGCTGGATTTGAAACTGCAAGCTCGCGAGGAAGAGTTGCAGAAAACGAAGAAGATATTTCAGACGCAGATTGGGGTTTTGAATGCAAAGCTTCTGGAGGCACATGAAGGACTGCACAACAGAAGGACAGCAGAGACCAAGGCTGCCGTGGAGAGTGCTTTGGCTGCAAGCCGGGCAAAGCAAGCTGAGCTGCAAAAACAGTATACGACCCTGATGCGGAAGTACACGGTCTTGCAGTCTCAAGTTGAAGAAGGCAGATTCGCGGTTGGGTCGTCAAACTCTCACACGCGGCCCGACTTGCCTTTCCGCATGGACGTGGACGGGGCGGACTCGACTCATTCGACCAGTCCCGTGACGATGAGAGCTAGCCGTTCTGGACTCCACCGAGTCTTGTCAGATAACTTTCTGCCGTCGTCGTACAGCAATACGCCGCCTATCATGACCAACCCGTCAACCCCGGTACCCGCGGGTGCATCGCTCGCGCCGGCACCATCCAGTCCACTAGAGGCGGACGAAGCTGCCAGCCCGAGCACGACTGACCCACGATACTTTGGCAGAGGTGAGTCTGGAGGATCCCGGCTTCGGTTCCGAGACGGGTTCTGGAGGATCAACTAATGACAGCAACGTCAGGTGGCGTTCAGAATCGGCGCAAAGATGAGAAGGGCAAGGGCAAGGACGACGGCGATAAGAAGAAGAAGTCGGGAGTCATACGTGGCATCCGCGGATATGTGTAAATGAAACGGGATGTGGAATGGCCAAGAGATACCCAGTGCCTTTCGTTGGTTCGAAATAAGGCATGTTATGATGATCTGTACGTACTAGTATTCAAGGCAACACAATGAGAGCTCTGAAGCAAATTCAAGTTGGGAGCACCAAACATTGACCAGCAGGAGTTCGCCTCATCTTGCGGGGCCCACGTGTGAGTTGCAGCTGCGGCTCACAGCGGGTATCACATTCGCCTACACGAAGAGGTCCAACCCCTCGGAACCCCCCCAGCACAGAGGCATCTGCCCCTCGCCGCGAGACCTCGCTCGGGACGGCACCGGTCAACTCTTGTCCTCTGCTGCAAGAAGGGTTTTTCCGGCGGCGATCAGATCAACCACGCAGCCCGTTCTCCAGGGTGTTGCGAACGGAGCGCAAACAAGCCTCCCCAACAGGATTTGGTTCACACAACATCGGCCCTGACTCACTGGCCGCCGGCACCAGAACACCACTACCACCACCACCACCGACGGCGACGGCTTCTCATCGTTTTTAACCTGGCGGATGGAGCAATGAGAAAGAGAACTCCACTACGGGAGTCGGCCTGGAGGAGATCACTTTACATGATGCCAAGGCTGCATTATCGTCCTGCAACTTTACATCCATGAAAAACGTCCAGATGTGGACTGTTATTGAAGTATGAACCACCAAGTACTTTTGTCCTCATAGAAATTGCCCGCCTAGAGTAGGTCATCCGCGGAAGAGGCACCCTTAATGGGAGCAAGGTTGAGACAAGGTAAGCCGAGTGCTAATTGGTCGAAATACCCCGAGCCTCAATTTACGAGTGTACGAACGCACGGGTCGTGTCTTTCCAAAAGCGGTAATCCAGCGGCCCATGCAGCAGCGACCTCTTACACGAGATCTTTCGCCCTGGCAAGATTGGATCTGCTGGTGGTGCCTGTCATATTGCCCAAAACATGTGTCTTCCAGAATCGTTCCGTCCTCGGATGCTATTTGAATGGCAAGTTTGCCAACTTGCGGTCCTTCTTTGTTTTTCTACCAAATCGAGCCTTTTAAATTCGAATCCCGCTCTCTTCTTGAAACTCTCTTGAAGCCAAACTTGGCTCTGTTCTTCAGAGGCAACGGGCCACAAAACGGTCCCATATCGATCTCGCTCACCAAAACCAAACCCCTTGACGGTCAAAACGGCCAGGCATGAACGACGTCGAGATCAGACCTCTGCAGCTTTGATCCGCCGCAACATCAAAGGACCAGACCAAGCACCGAGAAGTTTACCTCTACACTCCATAAGTAAGTTTCGACTTCCGTCCTTCCCCGCGTCATTGGGAGGAAATATTGTCGTGGGGGTTTGCGTCTCGCTGATGGTTGGAATTTCTGGAATCTCAGAACTTCTCAACTTCCACGACTCACACACACAACTTGAACGCCACCAAGGGAAAAAAGAATGGCGAAGAAAAACCAAACAGACGAGAAATCACCCCCCGCCGGGAAGGGGGATGCTGGGCCCGTAGAACGAAAACCCGCATTCGCAGATTACATCCGAGTCTTCACCTACGCCTCAAGATGGGATTTCATAGTATACGTTATCGCGGCCGTTGCCTCCCTCGGCGCCGGCGTCACCCTCCCGCTCATGAACATCCTCTTTGGCCAGCTCGTCGGGCAGTTTACAGAGTTCTTCCAGCCCAACTCGACCCTCACCACCTCCGACTTTGAGCACCTCCTGAACCGCCAAGCGCTGCTCATCATGGCCCTCTTCCTGGGTCGCTGGCTGCTCAACTCAATCAACAAGTTCTGCTTCCGCATGATTGGCATCCGGCTCTCGTCGGCGGTGCGCCTGCACTACGTCCAGTCGCTCTTTGCGCAGTCGATCCACACCATCGACTCGATGGCGCCCGGGGCGCCTGCGACGGCCATCACGACGACCTCGACCACGCTGCAGATCGGCATCTCTGAGCGTCTGGGAACGTTTCTGCAGTTTACCGGGACAATCTTGACGGCTCTGATCATCGCTTTCATCTGGAGTTGGGATCTGACCCTGGTTACGTCCTCATTGCTGCTGTACATCACGCTAATTCTCGCAATCGTGTTGCCGAGGGTGGTCAAGGGGCAGACGGAGACGCTAGTGGCAGACATGCAGGGCACCGCTGTCGCCAGCGAGGCTCTTGGAGGGATCCGACTGGTCATGGCCTGCGGCGCGCAGAAGCGTGTCATTGAGACGTACGACGGATGGGTGCGGAAGGCGAAGGAGCGGGCTCAGAAGACGGCGCCCATTGTGGCTGCTCAGTTTGGGTTAATCGTAAGTCCACGACGATGTGATCTCTCACACTCCCTTTACACAGCTGACTCGGTGTAGTTCTTTGGCATGTTCGGTGCTTACGGCCTGGCATTCTGGTACGGCACGCAGCGCTTCATTGCCGGGGCGTTGAATAACGCCGGTGTCGTCTTCGTCGTGCTGATGTCAGTCATGATGATCCTCACCTCGATGGAGCGCATCTCGACGCCGCTGATGGCCGTCAGCAAGGCCATGGTCGCAGCTTGCGAGCTGTTCACCGTGATTGACGCGCCGCTGCCGCCGTCCGGAAATCTCAAGCCCGAAATCGACTCGCACGACATCATCTTTGAGGACGTGGTATTTGGGTACCCCACCAGGCCCGGCATCACCGTGCTGAACGAGCTGAACTTCCGTATTCACCCAGGCGAGAACATTGCGCTTGTCGGGCCGTCGGGCTCGGGTAAGAGCACGATTGTGGGACTTCTCGAGCGGTGGTACTCTTTGCGGGAGCAACCTGCAGTGCCCAAGGTGAACCTGATGCCTCAAGCCGCAGGCAAGGCGGCTGGTGAGAAGGTACCTGAGGTTACGCGACCATCTGGGCGCATCCGTGTCGGCGGCGTCGATTTGGAGGATTGCGACCTCCAGTGGTGGAGGTCACAGGTCGGTTTGGTTCAACAGGAGCCCTTCCTCTTCAACGACACCATCTTCGGCAACGTCGCAAACGGTCTTATCGGGACCGGTTTGGAGAACGAGAGCGAGGAGCGCAGGAGGCAGCTTGTCCAGGATGCTTGCGAGGAGGCCTATGCCCACGAGTTCATCTGCAGGCTTCCGGACGTAAGTTCACCCCTTTTTCCTTGGCCGTCCTCCACGGATTGCTGACACTTTCCAAAAGGGATACGACACGAAGGTCGGCGATGGCGGCGCCAAGCTCTCGGGAGGCCAAAAGCAAAGACTCGCCATCGCGAGGAGTATCATCAAGCAGCCGCGCATCATCATCCTTGACGAAGCAACGAGCGCAATCGATGCAAAGTCCGAGAAGGTCGTTCAGGCCGCACTCGACAGGGTCACCAAGGGCCGCACCACAATCACCATTGCCCACCGCCTCTCAACAATCCAAAAGGCGGACCACATCGTCGTGCTGCAACAGGGTCAAGCTGTCGAGCAAGGCACGCACCAGAGTCTCATGGCCAACAAGTACGGCGTCTACCGCGGGCTGGTCAACGCCCAGGCTCTGAACCTGTCGGACCCCAATGACGAGAAGGCGAACCCCAAACTCGTGGAGTTTGACGACGCCTCGACGGAGAAGACATACGCCAACTCGAGCAAGCACGGTGGTCCCCCAAGCATCCTCAGCGACCGAGAGGTCGTCAAACGCAAGCCGCGAGGTATCATCTGGAGCTTCGGCAAGCTCATGTGGATCCAGCGCGACAAGTGGCCTTCGTACCTCGGCATCACGATCTCCGCGATGGCGGTGGCATCGGGCACCCCGATCCAGGCCTGGCTCTTTGCCAAGGTGATCAACGTCTTCCTCCTCCCCAGCGACGAGTTGAAGAAGGAAGCCAACTTCTGGGGTCTCATGTGGATGGTCCTCGCCATATGCATCGGCATCGCGTGGGCGTGTGAGGGCTGGATCGGACTGCACACACAGTACTTCATCAGCGCCGTGTACAAGAAGCAGTACCTGACCGACATGCTGCACCAGAATATCAGTTTCTTCGACGATGACGAGAATTCCCACGGGGCTCTGAGCTCGAGGGTCGGCGGCGACGCTAAGCAGCTCGAGGAGCTCCTCGGACTGAACCTCGCTCTCCTGCTGTCAGGCCTCTTCACCGTCGCCGGAGCTGTGCTCATCGCACTCCTCTACTCGCCCAAGCTAGGCCTCATAGCGATGTTTGTCTGCTTGCCTGTCATGCTGGGCACCGGTCTCTGGAAGTACAGGCAGGAAGTGCAGTTTGACCAAATGAACTCGACGGTGTTCATGGAAAGCTCGCAGTTCGCCACCGAGGCCATCGGGGCTATCCGCACCGTCTCTGCTCTCACCATGGAACCGTCAATCAAAGAGCGGTATGAGAAGCTTCTGAACCAACACATCGACGCGGCAAAGCGCAAAGCACAGTGGACCTCTGTGTTGTACGGGTTCGCAGACAGCGCCGGCATGGGATGTCAGGCGCTCGTGTTCTGGTACGGCGGCAGACTCCTGGCCAAGGGCGAGTACACCATGGAGGCCTTCTTCATCTGCCTCATGGCCATCATCCAAGGCGCCGAGTCGGCAAGTCAAGCCCTTTCGGTGGCGCCCAGCGCCGCGCAGGCTGCCGCCGCCGCGGACCGCATTCTCGATGTCCAAGAGTCGGCCGTCGGCGGCAACTCCGGCATCCGCCACGGCGACGAGATCTCCAAGTCGCAAGGCGGCGTGCGCATCGAGCTGCGCGACGTGCATTTCAAGTACCCCACGCGCGACGTCGTCGTCTTCGACGGCCTGAACCTGACCATCGAAAAGGGGCAGTACGCGGCCTTCGTCGGGCCGTCCGGGTGCGGCAAGACGACCATCATCTCCCTCCTGGAGCGGTTCTACGACGTCGAGCCCAACCGCGGCGAGGTCCTCTGCAACGGCATCAACGTCAACCACATGAACGTCTACAACTACCGCCGCAACCTCTCCCTCGTGCCGCAGGAGCCCATCATGTTCCGCGGCACGATCCGCGACAACGTCCTCTTCGGCATCTCAGAGCCCGCCCTCATCTCGGAGCAGCGCATTCACGACGCCTGCCGCGAGGCCTTCATCCATGACTTCATCGCCTCCCTGCCCGAGGGTTACGACACCCAAGTCGGGCAGAAGGGCGTCTCCATGTCCGGCGGCCAGAAGCAGCGCATCGCCATTGCCCGCGCTCTGATACGCGACCCCAAGCTGCTTCTGCTCGACGAGGCGACGTCGGCGCTGGACTCGGAGTCGGAGAAGATCGTCCAGGCCGCCTTTGAGAGGGCGCGCCAAGGGCGGACAATGGTCGCTGTTGCGCACCGGCTGTCGACGATCCAGACCGCGGATGTCATCTTCGTCTTCAGTGAAGGCTGCGTGGTGGAAAAGGGAACCCACAAGGAGCTGCTTCGGAAGAAGGGCGTGTACTGGGAGATGGTAAGCAATTCATCATCGTGTTCATGGTTCTTGACTAACATACATCTTACAGTGCCAGAGTCAGGCTTTGGATCAGTAGGCTGCGGAAATCTAAAAATTGTGCATTGGCATAGCGCGCGATTTGGGTTGGCAGTTGTGGGCTCTCGAGTTGTATAGACCGTCTGGGCAAACCCTTTTTTTCCCAGGCTGACTTGTTTCTTTTTCTTACTTTATTTGGGTATCAATGTAATTGTCTCCATGTCGTATACTCCTTCTCTTCAAAGCACATTCGTCAAAACGTTGTATCTTATACCGCCTGAATTCTAAACGTCGGTACCTTTGCCGCTCCACTTGCCATATCCCGCACGCTCGGCACCGAATACTTCAGCCATAAGCAGGCCGCCACGCCCATGCACCGGCTGCCTTGTCCATACTATGTCCTCGTCTTTCTCTCGGACCACGGCAGCCTCCTGCACCAACGTCCACGTCCCAAGCAAACCGTCTTTCTCGAGATAGCGGAGCAGGACGCGGTCTCCACCCTCCTCGAAGAGGAACTCGCGACGCCAGAACCTTCGCCACTGCTCGTGAGGCGTGCCTTCGGATGCATTCATGCACTCGATAGTGCGGTTTCGCGCTGCAATGGCGTACAAAGCTCGGGTTTTCCACAAGCCATCTTGACCCGGGTAATCTTTCAGCATCTCTACGGCTTCATCGCGTGCCAACGGATCGCGACAGAAGAAGGACAGAACCATCAAGTGCCAGGTGATGTTGCACTGAAGGGAAACTTGATGGCCCGGGTTTTTCTCGACGTCTCGTTTGGCTGCGCGGAGAGCGATAGAAGCAACAGATAGATATTCTCGGAAGAGGGGTGTCCGTGCGTTTACCGATTCAATGTTCACATACATTGGAGGGTTGTCGAACGTGTAGACGCCCAGATATTGCAGGCGCAGATGAATCGCCCTCAAGTACACGGGTGACTCGGTGTCATGGGACATGATGATCTTGTTGAAAAGGGGCTGGAATCCGGCGTCGAGTGCTTCCATGGTTTTATTTGACTTCTCGGAGAACTCCACAATCCGGGGGTTCTGTAGGAGATTGACGTGAAACCCATAGATGACCTCCTCATCATGTGAGTGAATTGCATCTGAGTTGTACAAGTATTCCACCATGATGGGGATCATTGCCGTTTGTGCACGCTGAACGGCATTCCAGCTGTCTTCAAAGTCGTCGAGGCTTTTGAAAACTGTGGGTATATTGTCGATGTCGACGTCTGAGCTAGGCACTTGACTCAATAGAATCATGAAAGATTCCATGGTATGGTTCCTACTCCTTAAGACCTTGGTTAGGTTTGGAAGGGGAGGTCCCTGTCCCACTCTGTCACGCAACACCGTACGGGCTTGTTTTGCAAGGTGGTTGAAAACGTCGGCGATGGCAGCCAGGAGAGGCTTGGGGTTGGGGGCCAGCTTCCCAATATGATGTTCTGCATTGTCGTCTGTGATGAGAGACAGCATAAGACAAAGACCGTGATTAACGTGATCCAGGGCGGCTTTCCTGTTATCCCTAAGCGTCTCGAACAAGAGCAAAAGGACAGACAAGATGATGGCGTCTTGAAGAGATGCTTGGCGGCTCTGCTCCTTGATGGAATGGCAGTAGTGAGCGACAGCATTGAAGTAATGCTCGTCGCTCTCGTTGGTTGACATCTCGGGCACGGATATTGTGCGAAGGCTCCGTTGGGCTGATTGGCGATGCCACACGCTGAGTGCACCGATGGCCATGGCGGCAGATCGAAGGGTATTGCTGTTGCGTGCAAGCTGAGGGAGAGTTACTTCCCACAGGCTGCTGCTGGCGGCTGCATTGGTCCAGGGTGCTTTGGCCAGGTTAACGAATTCTTCAAAGTAGCGCATGCTCGATGTGTCGGTGAAGTCGAGAGCATCAGGGTCCAATTTCAACTGGACCCTCGGGTGTGCGGCATGGCGGGTGGCTTGCCTGGAATCCCAGACGACTTGGCCGGGTTTTGCAGCGGCATTCTTTCTCGTTTCGAGGGCGTAGCCTTCGCAGTATCCCCGATTCTGGAGACAATTGCTGCAGTGAGGCTTGCCCTCATCGCATTTTACGTGGCGCTTCTTGCAAGTGATGCATCCGGTTCGCACCTTTCGTGTGCTTGTTCGAGAGTGCTTCGGTTTACTGGCGGCTTGAGATGTATTGGTGAACGGGACGGCGTTTGATTCAAGATACGGGGAAAGCTGGATGTTGAATTCCGCCATTGCTGCTCATCATATGTCGATCATTGCGCAAATGGCAGATGAGGTCAAGACGATGAGCAGGTACAAAAGGCAGCCTGGTGAGATGGATGGCACAGAGGAGTTGCCTGGCAGGTGTCGTTGGACTCAATTGGGTCCACTTTTCTTCGAACCACGAGTGGTGCAAACGTGAACGAAGTTGGCGCACCCTACGAGTCACACCGAAGGCCGGATAATCTCAGTATCCTTAGTCCGGCCGTGCCTCATGTGGCTTTCCGCCAGGGCTGAGGTGGGTGACGAGTGCATTACGTGATCCTAATTTCGTCGTGTTTTTTTCTGATGCCTCTCAAATTGGAATCAGTGGGAAGAATTGGCCATGAAATGACGTGCGATTTTTCGACCTCATCGACTGCGAGAATTGGGTATTCGTACAGCGAGGAAAAATCAACGGCGGGTTGGAGGCTCCGAGCTGAGAGAGCCACTGCAGACGGGGAATGTGGTCCTCTGAGACCCCTTAACCCTTGCATACCTGGGGAAGCGAGCGCTTGGTACCTGCAGCTGTCACATCTCCGCTATTGCTTTTTCCCAGTCTTCCTCGCAGTCACCCAGCTTCCGTCATTGGCGATTGATCTGCCTGGCTTCGGTCTGGCTTTTCCCCTGCAGTGGACTCTTCCACAGAGCGGCAGTCGTGCCCAACCAACTCAACATGTCGAACGCCACTTGGTTTCGCCAACTTAGGACGTCGAGCAACCACGCGTTGTTGGGAGTTACGTGAGTCTAGGTGGTCTCGCTAGGCGGGTGGCAGACGGCACCGGAAGCCGTCGGGAAACCTACCCTACATGCAATATACCTTAGGGCAGAGCTGAAAGTGTTATTCCTCGGGCACTGACGCCAGATGACTGCAGATGGCAGACTCAGATTCGCGTTCTTACAAGACAGGCCTTCACTGACCAAAATATTGACAGAAAGTTTCTCAAATTGAAAGATGGACAGACATGTCGCGCATTCCGATGAGGTGTTATTATGGTCTCTCGCAACATTGGGATTGCTTGAAAATACGGGGGAGGGGGCGATTCGACCGGGCTTACCATCACGGGCTGGCCGTACAGGGACACAGGGGTGAGCATAGTGCACATGGCTGCTAAAAATGGGCAAGCCAGCGCGGGCCCGGGGGTTCTTGACGGCCCAAGATGGGCGCCGGCACGCCGGTAAAATGGGATGGCAGCCGTGATTGGGCCTTTGTTTTGAGCCGTCCTGCCCCGATTTGGTTGCCCTGCACACTCCGTGACCTCATCGCCTCGTCGCTTCAGGGGCAGTCCTGCAGAAGAAACCTAAAGATGTGATTGGGATACGGGGCACACCTTGTTCCTGCATCTTAAGCGTTCAATGCTGGACAGCGATGCTGCATCTCGGCGAGGGAGGGGAAGGGGAAGGGGTGTTGGGAAGTGTCAGTTCAACTCGGGGCATGTGGAACCACCCAGCTAACCTCACTTGCCCTTTCCAGACTCTTCCGCCCTCCAGGTGTCATCCCACTTACGCAACTCTCTCGTCTGGATTGGTCCTTCTTGTTGGGAGGGTGTGGGAAACAAACCGAGAACCTACACAGTACTTGGAGGGGAAGGGGAGTTCCGCTGCCATGTGCAAGGCACAGGGAAGTCGGCAAAGACCATCGAGCTTGTTTATGTGATCTGATCAAGCATCTGCCTTCTTGGTCAAAAACCCTCCTACCCCTCGTGTTTTCTCATTTTTTTCCTCTCTCCTGCTTCCCTTGCTTCACCTCCTCTCTTTTGCATCTCCTCACAATCGTTATCCTCATTGTGCCTCCGGGTCTCTGATTCAACACCCACATCGTCTCTCGTTTGCCGGCCTTGACCTACGTATTAATACCTAGTTGCTATTCCTCCAGAGCACCCGGCTTCTACGGCACCTACAAGTCAACCTCTTCCATTTTCTCGTATACTTGCCTCTCCCTCAAAGATCCAGCAGCACCTAACTCTATACCACTCAACGCGCAACCGACATAATGCGTACCTCCAGCTTGGCTGCGGTCCTCTACGCCGCAACGGCCAGTGCCTTCCAGGGCTTCAACTACGGCTCTACCTTCACAGATGGCAGCGCAAAGACACAGGCCGACTTCGAGGCCGAATTCAAGGCTGCTGCTAGTCTCGAGGGCACCAACGGTGCTTTCACATCAGCCCGTCTCTACACAATGGTCCAAGGCGGAAGCACCAACGACCCTATTGCAGCCATTCCCGCCGCCATCTCCACAAAGACCAGTCTGCTACTCGGTCTCTGGGCTTCTGCCGGTGACGCAGCTTTTGCAAACGAGCTCGAGGCCCTGAAGAAGACGGTGTCGCAGTACGGCAGTCAGCTCAACGGTCTGGTTGCCGGCATCTCCATTGGAAGTGAGGATCTCTACCGCCATTCACCAACCGGCATTGCCAATGGCGAATACGCTGGCGCCGAGCCCAACACGCTCGTGGGATACTTTGATCAAGTCCGGGAAATCCTCAAGGGTTCGCCCCTGAGCAGCGCCCCTCTGGGCCATGTCGACACATGGACTGCCTGGGTTAATGGCAGCAACAAGGCAGTCATCGATGCTTGCGACTGGATTGGCATGGACGCCTACCCCTACTTCGAGGACACCAAGCCCAACGCCATCTCTGACAGCAAGCAGCGATGGGCCGAGGCTCTGAGCGCGACCCAGGGTGCCGTTGGCGGCAAGCCTGTTTGGATTGCCGAAACTGGTTGGCCTGTCAGCGGTAAGACCGTCGGTTCTGCTGTCCCTTCCCTCGAGAACGCGAAGACTTTCTGGGACGAGGTTGGCTGCCCCATGTTTGGAAAGACCAATGTCTGGTGGTACACTTTCCAGGACTCTTCTCCCACTACTCCCAACCCCAGCTTCGGTGTCATTGGCTCAACCCTGACCAACAAGCCTTTGTACGACCTGTCTTGTGACAACACCACCTCCAGCTCTTCTACCGCTGCTGGCACTCCGACTGCTACCGCCACTGCCACGGGTGCTGACTCCGGTTCTGGTTCTGGTGGAGCTACGACGTTGTCGACTGCTGTGCCTTCCGGCGGCTCCGGCTCCGGATCTGGCTCCGGTGGAAGCGGCGGTGCGTCGCCGTCTGCCACCCCCGGCTCCGGCTCCGGTTCAGGCTCTGGGTCTGGCTCAGGATCTGGCTCAGGATCTGGGTCGGGCTCGGGCTCAGGCTCCGGCGGTAATGCTACCGTGAGCGTGCCCACGTCTGTTCCTTCTTCAACTACCACCACCGTTCCTGTGAGCAGCGCTGCCGCTACTACCTTCAGCATCGCTGTACTGGCTGGCATGCTCGCCTTCGCAATGTTCTAAGTGTCGTTAGAGAGCGGATTTGCACCTCTCTTTACCACGTCTGGCTTTATACCCTTCTGATGGTCCCCAACATGGTCAACGTACATAATTCCATGGGACAGGGGAAACGAATACACGGCCTTAATTACGTTATTGCAACCCACTAGATTCTGCACTGTAGTGTACGGCGGTTGAGTAAAAGCAGAGTTATTAGTTGGAACGAGTCTACCACACTCCTTCGGGCCGAAAGCAGCACAATCGGAAATTGTTATGAGATTATCATCAAATATACAAAAAGTTATTTTGATTTGCACTTTGGTGGCCCTATTGAAGTCGATTTCATGTAAGCCGAAGAAGAGTTCGTTGAGATGGTGACTGCTTTGTCAACGGACACGCAATCATATATTTCTTGGTTCAGGTGACAGTGATGTGTGAAAGTACTTTCGAATGAGTCTGAGTGGTTTTAAGAAAACACGATGCCTTTCCAGAGAGAACGGAAGTCTAGACTGTCTTTCCTCCAAGGATGGTTGGTGAGCCTTTTAACAGTGTCAAATAAAGCGACAAGTCGACAATAGCACTGTGCGGGCATCACCGCGTTATCCACATCTCTAGCTTCCTTCGCAACTCACTCACATGAACCCGACTTCACTGCCGTAATCATTGCCCACGACATCGCAAGTGGTGAGTGCGAGTTGCAAACAAATACCAAATATCAGGCATTTGATAGCGGAGGCGAACTAGTCTATCTGTGAGAGTCCTAGGCGGCACCTCACCGAGTTCTTTGCCCCCGCTCTCACTTCAATGTCCTAAACCGTGCACACCTTTCCAATCTCATCTCATCACCGACCCGCCAGAATGGACGCCCACGAGGACGACAGCGACATCAAACTTCAGAGGATCTCAACAGATCTTATTGCGGACTTTTCTCGATCTCTCCCCCTCTTCCTACGCAAATCGGACGGCCATACTCTCCGCAGCCGCGTACGGACCTCAGAAACAGCCCGTCTGGCATCAAGCGTAATCTCATCACTCTTCTCATCAAACTCATCGGCTAACAATAACCACAGTTACTCGACCCCTTCCAAGAGCTTCCTCAACTGCTGGATCCTCATCTTCCCACATGGCTTCCGCTTTTAGCGACAACCTACCTCGCCCACCTCAACATCCGGAACCGTAACCGTCCCAAACAACACTCGACTCGCTCCCAACTGCTCGAGCCCCTGAATGTCGCCATTGCTAAGCTGCTCTACACCTTCACCAAGATCCGTGGCGAGAAGGTCGTCGTGCGCTTCCTCAACGTCGAGACCCGCTACATCGAGCCTCTCCTCTCGGCACTCGAGTCTGCGGAGCGCTCCAGGTCGCCTCAGGCCTCCCGTCCCTCGCTCAGCCCTTTATCGCCCCAGTCCAACACTCAGCAATGGTCCTGGGAAGAGCGCTATTTAGTTCTTCTATGGCTTTCCCATCTTCTTCTCGCCCCCTTCGACCTGTCCACTATCTCCTCCGCCGCGGCAGACGAACAACTCACCCTCCCTTCCATCCCAAACTTCACTTGGCCATCTGACCTGCCGGGAATCACAGTCCGCATCCTCCCAGTGGCAATCAAGTATCTCGCCTCCCCTGGCAAAGAACGCGATGGTGCCCGCGCCCTTCTCGTTCGCATAGCCATGCGCCGCGACATGCAGTCCCAAGGCGTATTGACCGCCCTCGTCAACTGGGCCCTCGCCTCCCTCAACCCATCCCCGGATACCCCGCCGCAGCCGCCGTACTTTTACATTGGCGTGCTCTCCTTCCTGGCCGGCGTTCTGAGATCGTCCATAAACACGTCAGACATGGACGCCCATCTCTCATCCATCTTCCGCGCCGCTCACTCAGTCGCCTCCTCCGAGGTCGAAGAGACACCCGTCTCCGCAGCAATCCGCTCTGTTGCGGTGGCTCGTAAAATGCTGATCAAGGTCATCCGCTCCGTCACCGTCCTCCTCCTCCGAAAGTCGCCGCCGGACCCAGACAGTACGGAGCTCATCGAGACTTCCATTGGCTACTTCCTGGAATGCCTCGCCGACAACGACACACCCGTTCGGTTGGCGGCTTCCAAAGCGCTCAGCATCGTCACTCTCAGACTCGATCCAGAGATGGCTTCCCAGGTAGTCGACGCCGTCCTCGACTCGTTGAACCGCAACGTCCTCTGGACCAAGGAGCCAGGAAACTCCAACGGGCTCAAGACCCGCGACCTTGCAGCCGTAGACCCCTTGGAATGGCACGGTCTGATACTGACCCTCTCGCATCTGCTATACCGCCGCTCCCCACCCGCAAGCCAGCTCCCAGACATCGTTCACGGCCTGCTCCTTGGCCTCTCCTTTGAGAAGCGCAGCACATCAGGCGGCTCCGTGGGGACCAACGTCCGCGATGCAGCATGCTTCGGCATCTGGGCCCTGGCCCGACGGTACACCACCGCGGAACTCCTAGAAGTCCCCACAGCAGCCGTCGTCGCTGCCAGGCCTCACAGCCGGGACGCCTCCATCCTACAAGTCCTCGCCACGGAGTTGGTCGTCACTGCCTCGCTCGACTCGGCAGGCAACATCCGCCGCGGTGCTTCGGCTGCGCTACAGGAACTCATCGGGCGACACCCCGACACGGTGGAGAAGGGCATCTGGGTTGTGCAGACGGTCGACTACCACGCCGTCGCCCTACGGTCGCGCGCCATTCATGAAGTGGCCCTGAACGCAACGAGGCTCTCGCCCCAATACGGCGCGGCCCTCTTGGACGGTCTCCTCGGCTGGCGAGGAATAGGCGACGCAGACGCCGCCTCGCGTCGTGTCGCCGGCGCTTCGTTTGGCACTCTCACGCTGGAACTCTCCCAGAAGGACTCGCCCGATGCCGCGGCTCAGTTCACGGCTTCGATCGATAGGATCCTCGCCCGTCTTCGCGCTCTTCAGGCCAGACAAGTCGACGAGCGCCACGGACTCCTACTCTGTCTCGCGTCCGTACTGGACAAGTTCCCTGATCTACTAACTACCAAGCCGGATGGCATCGTCACGGATCTCACACAGCGCATCATTCAAAATCTAGAGACAATCTTGGGAGACTTTCAGAAAACAACCTACCGTCGACCAGAACTAGTTGCCGAAGCATCCAGCCGCCTCATCACCTCCTCACTCCCCATCCTGCAGGCGGCTACGCTCTCCTCGAACGCACAGTTGCCTCTCCAACCAGGCTACACAGTCGTCTCAACCGCAAACACCCAATCACTCCTCAACGTAATGGCAACGATCGACGCTCTCCCTTCGATCCCCTCATCCATAACCAGTCTCGTCTCGACCTTTGGCCCCGTCATCGCCGCAGGCCTCTCCCGGCCCGAGAAGGAAGCCTTCTCCGCGTCCTCCGAAGCAGCCCTCATCCACCTCCTCTTCTCCCCGCCCGACTCCCGCAGGACCATGATCCAGGAATGGGCCTCCACAGTGCGTCACCGCCCGACCTCCCGCACTGCAAACGACACGGGCGTGCTCTCCGCCCTCACAATGGCGTACCCCATCACCAGCACGTTCCGCAGCCAAGAAGCAGACGTCGTCTGCGACACGGTCCTCGCGCGGTGGGCGGGCGACAACGACATCGACACGCGCGTCGCGATCCTCCAGAGCTTGTCGCAGAGCGTCCTGCTCCGCGACCGCGCCCCGGTCCTCCTGGACCTCCTGGCCGAGGGTCTCAACGACTACACGACAAACGCCCGCGGCGATGTCGGCTCCCACGTCCGGCTCGAGGCCCTCCGCGCCACAAAGTCCCTCTGGAAGCTTGCCTTTGCACCAGAAACCACCGAGGTCGAATGGCTGCCGGAAGCGGTATCCAAACTCTTCCTCCGCATCCTCCGTCTCGCGGCCGAGAAGCTGGACCGCGTCCGCACCGAAGCCCATGCTGTCCTCGCCCTAACCCTCGACCCGTCCTTCGCCCCGACCTTCACGCAGCAGACCTTCTCCTCACGGGAGTACTTCCATACCCTCTTGACCCTGCGCACATCCTCCTCCTCCAACCTTCTCCACCCCAAACTCGCCCGCCCCGACGAGGAGGCCTGGATGTCGGAGCTCCTCTCCGGCTACGTCACCTCCGCCGACACAGGCAACGAAGACCTCGTCATCGCCTCCCGCGCCGCCCTCGCCTCCTTCTGCGCCGTCTCGCCCGCCGCGCTGTCGTCCGTCTGCGGCGCCCTCGTCGCGAACCTCAAGGCGCGCCAGGGCCTCGCGGCCACGGACCGCATCGTCGTCCCGACGCTCGAGATCGTCGCGTTCCTATGCCACGTTGGCCTCTTCCAGAAGTGCGTCGGGGTGCTGGTCGGCCTGCGCTCGCTGTGCCTGCTGGTCCAGCGCGCGGGCTACAAGACCGGCAACGTGCGCAAGCTCGAGGCGTGCATCAAGGTGTACGGGTGCGTGGCCGGGTTCGACGACACGGCCGCGGATCCGGAGGCTGCGGAGGGTGTCAGGGACGGGGTCGCGGAGGCCAGGAAGAGGCTTGGGGCACTCATGTTCCACCCCTGGCCCAGGGTACGCAGCCAGGTTGTCGACGAGCTGTGGAAGCTGTTTGGAGAGGAGGGGGATGGTGGCGGTCGGGCGGAGGAGTTGAAGAGCGTGGACTGGAGCAAGGCCGAAAAGGGGTCCATCAAGCGCGTTGTCGAGCGGCTTGGCTTGGCCCAGGCCGCATAGACATGGAATACAAGTAGACTTCATGCAGACAAGAGCATAGACGAGAAAGGTTCCGTCGTCTTTAGAAAGAAAGCAGCACTTTGCAACGCAGAAAGATTTCCTTAGTTATCGTGATACGGCACCTGTGGTAGCTGCCATGGTTTTTGCCCGGTCTGCGGCAACTCTGCTAGGCCGGCAATTACACGCCTCCCTAGAAGGCAAGTAATGTACATTGAGCTCACTATTCGGTGTCATTTGGGGCTTTGCTGTTCTCACGACACTTCAAAAGCCCATGGAGCAAGCAAAAAAAACATCATCGAAGACGCCATAGCGAAGCCGGCCACTGACAACGGCCGCCGCGGCCGGCGTATTACCTGGGGAGGAAGGTGTGCGGGAGAAGGGTTACAATGCGAATGCGATGCGGGCATGACATGACGCCAATGCCGGCGGAATGAATACTACCTACTCAATCAATGTTTGCCATAGGGCTGGGTACAGCCAGGAGAACCAAGCACGGCCCAAAATACTCCCCTTGCGCTCGGCATACAGCTTTTCGTATAGATAGTGACGTGCTCATGATGGCCAAGAGAGGCAGTAGCTTTTTTGCCGCGCTCGCATTGTGCAAGCAGGAGGCCGCGGGGGTCAATGACAACGCAGCGACTCTTGGACCATTGACGATTTACCGGAGGCTATTTAGCTCCGGGACGGAGAGGGACGGACATAGACACAGCACGACACCAATCTGGCTGCGTGGTTGACGTCTGCCATGGTCAGCGCTACGTGCGGACTAGCCCGAGAGTCAATCGATGTTAGCTGTCCGCGCGGGCTTGTGCCAAGTCTCTGGGTTTGCGCCTCACAATCATCTGTGCCGTTTATGCATTACCTGCGGTAACCAAGCTAGAAAGTTAGAGATGCTATTCTTCGAGACTTCCGCGGCGCTACGACGGCGTATTAGGTGATGACACTCTCGTTCTGGGGATATTTTTCATCCATCCGAAGAGCTCCAGTCGTATCCCTTTAAGCCGCGGAAACCGGGCGGTCACTCACGAGACGAATCGGATCCGGTGCTGTTGTTTCACGATCGACTGCCGCCGCCATCCCGTCGCACAGGCTCGACGTACAATGTCGAAATGCTCACGGACCGTGTGACGTTATGTCGATCGGACGACGTCAAATGCCCAATGAGGCTATAAGCACAAGCAGTGAGAGCCTAGTGTTGACAACACCGGTCGCCCAGCATGGCTTAGTAGGCAGCGGTCAGGTCTCTGCCAATCACCTACTTGCTGGAGCAAAACTCTGGTAGTGTCTTTGGACGACGGCCGGGGCCGAAGCTACATACTGGTCATGGCAAGAATTCGGGCCGTTAAGTCCAAACCGACGGTCGATTCAGCCTGACGATTCGGGACAGTTGTTGAATAACATCTGAACTTGTCCCAGGCGTAACACGCCGAGGAATGTGGCAACCTAGTTGGCATCTTGCGGAGACGGCCGCCAGTAAAGTTCAGGCGGGAGATTTGAGGAAATTGTGTCGGACTGCGCCGCAGATTCGTACTGCGTACACGCAACGTGTACAAGGACCTTGGCCTTGACAGGGTGGCGCAAAGATTAGGATCCGAGATTCCTCTCAGAACAGCTGCAACCGTTGACTGTTGCAAGATAGCAGTACCTGGTCCTCCAACGCCTCATCGAAGTTGTGTCAAGGGTTTCTTTTCCCGCTTTGTTCGAGAGCTTGCCCCGGCCCATGGCAACCTGGCCACTTTGGTTTGCCGTACTTCCACGTGGGAGTGACACAAAGGAACCCTGAAAAGTACCCTCAACGTCAAGGGCACCCAGCCTCGCGGGAACTGGCATGTTATACTCGATGTGGGCATAGCGTCGTGCATTGCAGACCTGAGCTCAAGCTCCCTCATTTTGCTGAGACATGATAATCCAGAGGTAGACATACCGCAATGAGAAAAGGCAGGTACAGGACGCGCTCAGCGCTGTAGGCAGCTCAAAATGGGGATGGGTTCGGAGGTGAGGCAGATCGGAGACGTAGGGGGGTGTGGGCATCGGGAGGAAAGTTGATAAGTCGCGTTGAGTGGGAGGGCGGAAGGCTGGGATTGGCCAGAAGGCAGGCGTACGGTTAGCGTGCCCCCAAAAGCGAAGTGTCGCTGGAGGACCTGCTCAGTTGGGTAAGCTGGCAGATATGCAGTGAAACTCTTCATGAGCTCGTGGAGTCAGGAGTTGTCTGCCACACGCAGTCAGTCTGCAGTTGGCAACTGGCAACTTACAACTTGCAACTTGCAAAAGTGCCCCTGAGTGAAGATGTGACCGGTTGCCGGCAAGTATCGGGGCAGGACAAGTCGTAAAAGAGCAGAGGACGTGTTGGTTGTTGGGCCAGGGACAGTCGGCAGCCTGGCGGCATGATTTGATAACGATCTCTCTAGGTTGTGTGGAGACACATTTGCAGGCGCATCCGAGGGCTGGCACCGGTCAAGATTTAGAGCGGTGTCGCGTGAGCAGCGGTGTACTCAGCCAAGCGATGTATATGCCGGAATCAAGTGTGTCGGGCAATTTGATTTGGCTTAATCGACTAGGCGATGCAGATGGCTTAGAGAATTTGAAGTGAAGCGCCAGTAGTAATGTTCTTGCCTGTCGAATGGCTAGTCAGCCTGCTTCCCTCTATCCGTATGACAAGCGAGACAGTAAAGTGCGAATAACTGTTGGCCGTGACTCTGGGGTTGAATGGACCTCGGAATCCGTTGACTGACATGCCACAGTTTGAGTAGGGGGGAAGGGGTGCCAATCGGTAAAGTCTGGATTGGGAATGGCTGGGCCAGATGGAGGTGGCGGGAGGGTGCGGCACAAGTTCCCGGGAGGTGCATGGGCAGCAGCTTTTGTAAGAGCTGACGGGACAGAGGGGTATTCTGGGCGGAGGATTTTCGATGGTGAATGCTGCGGTGGGATTTTGCAAAAGGTCGGTCTCGGATGATGGTGTCGTGATGGGTGGTTTGTGTTTGGCTTCTGAGTGAGTGGGAGGCGGCGGTACGGTATCGTGCGTGCCGTGTCTCGCGTCGGTTCTGCCTTACGGCAAGGCAAGATGTGCTGTCGCTGCAAAAGCAAGACAAGCGAAGGGAAGTGAGGTAAGGTATGTAAGAATAGGTGAGACTTGCGGCGTGGATGCCGGCACTGGTGGCGTTGACAGTCTGGAGTTGCAGACCTGACGTGAACACAGTTGACCTCCCTCGCCTCATGGGAGGGAGGGAAGGAATGAAGCACTCGAGTGCCAGTAAACGGGAAACTGCGGGCGGGGCCGGATCCGAGCCGTGAGAATGCCTCAAGTGGATAGGTAGGTACCTAAGGTAAGGTACCTAAGGTAGGTTGGGTTGGGCCACACGGTGCAGGTGCACTTCAGCTCTTGCAGTGACAGTAACAGAGATGATGCGGGAAGGTGTCCACGGGTGTTTCCCAGAGACAGGAAACCGGAGTGAGTCGGACCAGTGGGAAGCCGTCGACGGGTACCTAAGCGGTGGTCCATGCTCCCCGATCCGCCCAAGCTTGTCGTCGTTTGTCGTCGTGGTGCTCTTACCTTACCTTACCCCGTCTCCATTGGTGTCTCCATCACCCGTCGTTTACTCTGCCCTGACCAACAAAATGACGAGATATCCAACTCCATTTCCTGCATTTATCCATCGACGAGTGGGTAACACATGCAAGCAAACAGGGTAGGGTAGGGCAGGTCAGGTCGTCAGGGCAGCACGGACGGCGCCTACCTCATGACGGATGACGGATGACGGACAGACGACAGCACCATGATCGTCTCAGCAAACCTCGCAGGACAACGAGGTGAACAAAGATGCGGTGGTGGGTTGGTGTTGTCACACCCACAGCAGCGAGGTACTTTGGCCCCTGGGGTGCTGTTGCACTGGGTGCAACTGTCGACGGCGCGGGTGGTGGTTCTCGGGCGTGATCATTGATGAGCGAGCACCTCCCTCACCTTTGAAACTGGGAACTTGGTGATAACCTGAGGCTCGACCTAAGGTGGTAGGCAAGCTGGTATCTACCTACCTAAGGTACCTCCACTAGGTGCCTCTTATCCGCCTGTTCGCCGTACCTGCCTCGGAGTGGGGGCGGTATCATGGTCGCGGTTCCTGCCTGCCACCTGAAGCTGACCTCGCTGTCGCCCGTGATAATGATAACCCTACCTACCTAGGTACCTACCTAGGCATGCATCAGGCTGACCGGGCAGAGATAGGAACCGGCAAAAATGTAAGGTCTCCTTCCTCCGGCCGACCTTTGTTGGGGGAATATCACACGTATTTTTACTGATCATCATCTCTTTTTCGATAGGTCTCCAATGGTCAATGTCCCCCCTCTCCACTCACACACACACACCGTGACCCATGGCGGGCACCGAACGAACAGCTTCTCCTCCTCCGCTCCCCCACGCGTCAATCAGCCCGCACCGCACTGAGGTGCACTCAGCTCTCCCTCCTGCACCTGTGACTGCACCACATTCCAGTCCACCGTGATTCCCACAGTGGACTCGACTCCATTCTCCATTCTCCAGTTCCGATTTCTCGACTCCTCTTCTCCGATCTCCAAATCCCCCCCACCGCCACCTTATCCTACCTTCATCGTTGTCTTTGAACCCTGCCCTTTCTGGCCTACCATCGAAACCCAAATCCAACGATGGTCTTGCTAAATTCCTTGGACACTAACACTTGGTTGGACCCCATCCTGTATTCAGGTATCTCGGGGACAATCTGATCCAGCCAGCAATGTCTTGTGCGACCATGGGGATAGACATGGCAGCATGTCTCTCCATGCGGCGTCTCCCATCCGTGCCTCCAGTCACCTGAAGCACCGTTGCCTTCATTTCTCTCCTGCAGCTTTCACCAAAACCCGCATCATCAACAATTGACGCTCTCCCATACGCAGTCCCTTCTTGGCCTTCCGAACCAGCTCACCACCTGACTGTGCCAGCGGCCGTGGCTTTCCATTCCGGGGCCCTTGGCCAGCTCGGCAACTTGGCGACT